TTTAAAAGTTGCACTATTGAAGGTAACAGAAAATTGCATTAGGCTTGTCAGTAAAAGCAAAAAATTCAAGAAACCACTGTGGTACTCCGCAGATGTGGCCAAAATAGTTAAAAACTAAAATTTAGCATTTAGGAATTATAAAAAAAAACAGAGTGAGGAAGACAAAATGATCTATAAGATTAGGCAGAAAGAGGCTAAGCAAGTTATAAGAGCTTCCAAATCACACACAGAAGAGAAAATAGCACAGTCAGTAAAAAAGGGGGATAAAACATTTTTTAGATACATAAATGAGAAAAGAAAAGTAAAACAAGGATTAGTTAGATTAAAAACAAAAGAAGGAAGGTATGTAGAAGAGGATAAAGGTCTAGCTGACTGCCTCAATGAATATTTTTGTTCTGCATTTTCAGATGAAAATGAATGAAAGGGACCTCAGTTAAGAAAAAGGATAAATGAGTCATTTATTACACGTGAGTTTACAGAGGAAGAGGTTCTATTTTAACTGTCAAAAGTAAAGACAAATAAATCAATGGGACCTGATGGAATACACCCAAAGCTATTAAAAGAGCTTAGTGGTGTACTAGCAAAACCATTTCAGTAAGGCTTTTGACACTGTTGCACATAGAAGGCTTATCAATAAACTGCCATCTTTAAGTTTGGATTCCAATATTGTTGAATGGGTAAGGCAGTGGCTGAGTGACAGGCAACAGAGGGTTGTAGTTAATGGAATATATTCGAAGCTTGGACTTGTCACCAGTGGGGTACCTCAAGGATCTGTACTTGGACCCATTCTCTTTAATATTTTTTTAGTGATATTGCAGAAGGTCTTGATGGTAAAGTATGTCTTTTTGCTGATGATACTAAGATATGTAACAGGGTTAATGTTCCAGGAGGGATAAGCCAAATAGCAAATGATTTAGGTAAACTAGAAGAAATGGTCAGAATTGTGGCAACTGACATTTAATGTGGATAAGTGCAAGATAATGCATCTTGGACGTAAAAACCCAAGGGCAGAGTACAAAATATTTGATAGAGTCCTAACCTCAACATATGAGGAAAGGGATTTAGGGGTGATTATTTCTGATGACTTAAAGGTAGGCAGACAATGTAATAGAGCAGCAGGAAACCCCAGATTGCAGCAATTGCGGCAATCATGACATTAATGCTCCTGCAGTATGCCTGGATGTCCAAGGCCATATCACTGTCCCAGCTCATGTGATCGCAATGACCGGCAGTCAGAATCATCACACGTGCTGATGGGAACCTGATCTGCCTCACTGCACCTCCGTGTAACCTGTGAAGTGCAGGGAGATAGATCAGTGCTTCTCTATGTATGTACGGTATAGCTGTGTAACTCTTACAAGAGCTGGTGATTATAGCAGGTATAGCGGTTCCCTACAAACATGAGGTGAGACTATGTTGAGGATAAGCAGGAACTATTGGTAGCCACACTGGACTTTTATGTCAGTCCCCATGCAAGCGGCACTCCCCTCTGGACCTGAGAGTAGACTACAGTAAAAGTGTAACGGACCACCTGGCACCCCAACTGGGTATCTCCGTTAAAGGATACTCCTAGCACTTCCTGAGGGCTCCAAGCACTCCAGCAGACACCTCCAGGCACTGGGAACTCTGGAACCGAATGGGGAATTAGCTCTAGTCCTTACAAGGACTTCCCCCGGTGAATCTCCGGGAAGCTGAAACAGCAGACACAGGAGCAAAGCTTCTTGCCTCCAATAACAGGACGACACACAATTTTGGAGTGTAAACATTAACAGACTGAGCTGGGGTTTTATTGCTTCTTTTATACATATTTCTCCACAAGGTTACCACCCACATGGTCTTGTGGAACAACCAATCAAACGCATTACAATACAGTCAGACACTCCCAGCCAAGGCACACAAACCCTCCCCTCTGCCTGTGATATAATTACTGCACACAATGGGTTAACTTAATTATCACAGGCAGGAAAATATACAGTTTCATACAATATCCATAACTCCCAAAATATACATACATTTCTCATAGTTAAATATTCTGAATCAGCATACTCCATATACAAACATATGTAAAAATCATACAATTCCCTCCAGTGGTTTAAGAGTTAGGTGGAAGTCCTATTTGACCGACTGCAAGCATGGCTTTCCTGCCCAAAACAGTTCCATAGATTTGGGCTGTGCAGTTGGTCTATTTTCTCCTCTATCCTGGAGATAATTGACTTAAGTGGGTGTGGTAAGCCTATTATCTCTAGGTACAGAAAATCTCTCTATTTACAACAACAGTAAAGATACATAAAAATACATAATTCCTATTATACTGAATAGAACCCCAACATTCATCCCCAGATAACTTGGATCTGAGCGCTCAATATATCCGAAACAGCGCTCAGATCCCACGAACAGAATAAAATCGCCATGGGGTTAAAGTTTAGCAAGGGCTGATGAGTGATTGAGGAGGGACAAAGCAGCCAGTTTCAACTGGTCTGGCAGTGTCTCTGGGACAATGCCCTGCTGGAGAGCAATGGGACAGAAAAACGGGGGAGGGGAAGAGGCACATTCTCCCATGAAATCAAAGGGGCAGAAAAAGGGTTTCAAAATCCAATATTCCCAAATAATGTGCTTAAAGGGCCAGCACCAGTCCAATAGGAGTCCATAAGCCCAATTACTGTTTTTAAAGGGCACAATCTCCCAGGGGCCATAGTCATAAGGCAAGAGGCTGACAAACAGGCCCCTCCAAAAACCAGTGGCGAGGTCACTTTTGCCACAAAAAGCATATACGCAATCACATTGGCTCTCAGGTCCAGGACACTCCCATACAAAACAGGATAATCAAGAGATTATGCCTGGGAGATAATTGAGTCAAGCACTGTACTAAACTCAATTATCTCCAGGCACAGAAAATATAATATTTACAACATATTAAAAATACCTCCAAAACACATGGAAAACCCAATATAGTCATATCCCCTGATAGCCCCGATCTGGGGGAACAACATATCCAAAAATCATCCAGATCGGTTCAGGAGTTCAGGATTTCCATGGAAGTCTCAGTTTGACCGACCGCACACGAGGCTCTTGCCCCAAAAGAGTTCCATGAAATCAGACTGTGCAGTTGGTCTCTTTCGGGAGACACACATTTTATAAAAAATACCAAAAGTACAATTCGTCTTTATTCCTTGTTTGGGAGCTTGGTACTGCTGAACTCCATTCAGTTCTCACGTATTTTACCGCACTTCAAGGGAGGTGGAAGTTCTAGCGGTGTTCACGCCGTTGAGTGCCCGACTTGAGTTCCATGCACTCGATGACCAAACACTGCTGTATGTGTTCGCGGCTAACACCACGTGTTCGGCCATACGACATGCGGCCACCCAGCTGACCGCTCAGAATGTTATGATAATTGTGGTTACTAAGGTGCAAACAAAGGTAAAAAGGGTCGAAGAGCAGTGCACGCCTGCCGTGGGTGGTCTGGCTGTTCAGTATACGAAATAGGTCTCAGGTGTTCGGTGAGTTCGAATACCAAATTATGCAGTGTATCAAATGAACAAAAAATTAACAGCATCACAGTGCTCCCACCTTGTGGAACACTCCGGCAGACCCGGTTTGACCTTTTTCGGGTCAATTTGTCCGAGGTTAAGCAAATTGGTGAGCTCTGTTTGCCGGGACAACCCGTCGGCATTTCCATTCTGCTTCCCAGGTCGGAAGGTAGTTGTAGGTTTGCAGGGCCAAACTCCATCGTAGTAATCGGCCATTATCCCCTGCGACCCGGTTCAGCCATACCAACGGGTTGTGGTCTGCAATCAATGTGAGTTCTTGTCCATACAAATAGGGAGTTAATTTCTTTAACGCCCAAACCAATGCCAAGCACTCCTTTTCCACTGCCGGGTAGCTCACCTCCCTGGGTAATGATTTTCTGCTGAGATACGTGACAGGGTGCTTGTGGTGGAACCAACCTCACCACTGGCCACTGGAGAAGCCTGGTCGCCCGCCTCCTGCCGCTGGACTATGGCCCCATGTTTAACACTGCTCTTTTTCCTTGCAGAAAGGCTGGATTGTGCCTTTCTGCGGACTGTTAAGTTCACAAACACTGCTGAGCCGCCGACCTCCCTTCTCCTACCTGCAGTCAATTATCCGAACACCGGTCCATTCGGTACTTTACTGTTTAAACCATGCTACCCCAGATAGCTATGCCATGGAAGACTGTATGAAAGACTTTGGCTCCATGGCGATTGAACTGTATGTATGTGATCTGAGCGCCATCCGGTAGTAATGGGCGCTCAGATCTAAGCTATCTGGGGATAGGTAGAATGTGTATGTTCTATGTGATAAATGTAACACTATGTAATTTTATGTCTTTTATTGTCCTTTGTCTGCCATGTGGTTAATGGAGTTTTGCCTCTGTCCTTGGTAATTGGATTACTTCCCAATTATCTCCAGGACAGAGAGGAGGGATTGTGATGCATTGTGGGATTGTAAGCTTGTGATTGGTCAATGTCCAATATGTTTCCCAGTCTTTCATCTGGTCCCCTATGGGAGTGTACACCAGGTGGGAGACCTGCATAAAAGCCGGGCAGGTAGACCCAGTAAATCAGTTCTGCTTGATCCTCAAACGAAGTGTCGCATGGACGCGTCTGTGTGGACAATTAAACATTTGTTAGGGAGTGGGGCAGCCAAGACAGGAGCATTCACTAAAGCTTGTTAGGTAAACTCTTTTTGTCAGGTCAGTCAGGGGTTTAACAATAGTACTATAGTCTGGTACAAACCACCTAAAGTACCCAACGGTCCCTAAGAATGCCAAGGGTGTTAACGACTGCTTCTATCTTAGCGGGTTCTGGTCGCTGATACCCACACCCTATCCTAAGTATTCATCCCGTATGGCATGACCCTGAACTGGTACAAGCCATACGGGCTGACGAAAGGCCTCGGCCAGGGGCATCTGCCAATAGCCTTTGAATAAGTTGATGGTGGTTGATAACATCCCCCCTGTCCCCTCATATCCCTTAGTGCTCTCCCCTCTTGTCCCTTTGATATCTCCCCTGCCCCCCCGTCCCTTAGTGCTCTCCAACCTTGTCCCTTAATTAATTTCCCATCCCCCACTTAACGGTCCTCTCCCTTCCCTGTCCCTTAGTATTTTTAATTTTTTTAAACTTTTCTTTTTTTAAAAAAAACTTTGAACAACTTTTTTTTATTATTTTAAAACTAGGTTTTAACTTTTTTAAAAAGTTTTTTATTTTTTTTATTTTTTTACTGTTAGCCCCTAACTGTAAATCCCCCAATTTCCCCACTAACTTCTACCCACCCTACCTAAATAAATATTTTACAAATAAGTAACTAATTAAAATAAATTTAACCCCTGAGGAATTAAAAAAAAAAATGGACACCATAACCTCTTCAAATCCCTGAGTCATGATGCTTGAAACCTTGTATGTAAAGTAAAATTGAATACAAAATTTGGCAGACATTTGAGATGAAACGGAAGGGTGAAAAGACTGAACATTAATCATTAAATAACCCACATTTATTCAGCCATAAAGTTGGTAAAGTACCAAGTTTTTGTCAGGATAGATGACACCTTCTGTTTTATCTAAACATCTCAAAAAATGAAAATAATAAGTAATAATATCTTATGAGATATATATTAAATTTTATTATGAAGTGTGGCAAACCTATAATATTCTGGACTATGCACAGAAAAGGTTGCCTACAATAATTTGTGTACTGTCTGGTGTAACTTGGCTGTAACATGCCCACGCCCACGCCGAACACATATCACTACACTCAGGGATCGCGCAGGTCAGATCAAAACGGCACCGGCAGACATAGCGCGGATATTCACAGAGTTTTATACAACCCTATACAATCACACACCTACCGAGGCTGACAAAATACCGCACCTACGAGACGAGATAAGACAATACCTGGGCAAGCTAGACCTCCCGAAGTTGACCCCTGTAGCAATAGAGTCTTTAGGAGACGAGGTCACAGCAGATGAAATAGATAGAGCGATATCACGCCTCAACGGGCATAAGGCCCCGGGCCCCGATGGCTATGTGGGCAGCTATTATAAAACATACCGAGAAGAACTGACACCGCATTTATTAAAATGGTTCAACTATTTGATGCAGGATGGACGACCAGACCCAGATATGTCCACGGCCCATATAATACTATTACCCAAACCCGGAAAAGACGCAACATACCCTGAAAATTACAGACCCATATCATTGATCAACCAAGACGTTAAAATACTAGCCAAAATACTAGCAGATAGACTGTCTCCACACCTAACACACCTGATCCATGCGGACCAGGTGGGTTTTGTCCCCGGACGACAGTTATTTGAAAACACCAGGCGCAACATTGACTTAATCTGGACGCAGACGTTTACACGCACACCAACGCTCATGCTCTCTCTCGACGCGGAAATGGCGTTCGATAGGGTAAACTGGACATACCTATTCGAACTCCTTCGACATCTCCACTTCCCCGAACGGTACATTACCACGATCCAAGCTATGTACACGGACGTCAAAGCACACATTCAGATTACGGGCGCCCAGACACCCCCAGGGTTGCCCGCTATCTCCCCTCCTGTTTGTCATCACTTTAGAGCCCCTACTGCAGGCAATCAGATTGAAACAATTAATACACGGAATCTCAGTGAGGGACCAAACATTCAAAGTCTCAGGCTATGCGGACGACGTCCTTCTCACGCTTGCAACCCCAAGGACCTCAATGCTCGCCTTAGATAAAGAATTAGCAGACTACGGAGCCTTATCGGGATATAGGGTTAACCTGGGCAAATCGGCCGCACTCCCAATCGCAATGACAATGCACGACGCTACATACATAAGCACCCAACACCATATACCCATAACGCACACTTCCATAAAATACCTGGGTATACAACTCACCGCTGACCCCTCACAACTATACGGGGCGAATTACACACCAATCCTCCGCACCCTTAATGCAGACCTTGACAGATGGACTGACAAGCCCATATCCTGGATCGGGCGGGTCCATACGATAAAAATGAACATCCTCCCGAGACTCCTCTTCCTTTTTCAAGCGCTTCCCATACCCATAACTAAAACAGACCTAGTCCCCTTGCAGAGGTCCATAGGGGATTTTATTTGGCAACGCAAGCGCCACAGAGTAGCACGCAATGTACTGTATAGACCCAGGGAGGGGGGTGGACTGGGCCTCCCCCATCTCTATAACTACTATTTAGCGGCTCAACTGGCGCAAATAGCTATGTGGCACTCAACACCGGACGACCGCAGATGGGCTGACTTGGAATCAGGAATCATGGGAGCGGACCTGCCCCAATTTTACATGTGGCTTCCCAGGGAACACAGGGCTATCCTGCGCACCGATTGCCCGGCGATCCTCAATTCCCTTAGAATATGGGACGCAGTGGGCCAAAAATACAAACTAACCACCACACCCTCTCCTCTGATGCCCTTGTTGAGGAACAGAGCGTTCCCACCGGGAATGAGGGCCCAAGACTTCAGAAACATTGAGGTGGCGGGCCTACAGCGAGCAATCCACCTGTATGAAGGGGACCAAATAGTGACATTTGATAAGCTACAGGAAAACACCAGGCTTAGGCCCCCCGACTTTTTTCGCTATATTCAAATCCGAGACTTCGCACAACACAATCTGGCCAAAACGGCAGCACATACTGAGCCCATGGGCTTTGAGCGAATGTGTCTCAAAGAAAACCCCCCAAAGGGACTTATTTCATACCTATACGCACATTTATGCACAAACAGTGATTGGGGCGACTTGACCTACACCGTCCACTGGGAAACAGACCTCAAAGAGACTCTAGAGGGCACGGAGTGGAGAGAAATATGGGACGCAAACAAAGCTATTTCCACGTGCGTTACCCACCAAGAACAGGCCTATAAGACCATGCTGCGCTGATACACTACTCCAGTAAAATTATACCGCATGCGTAAAACTCCAAACGACTTGTGTTGGAGGGGCTGCGGAACCAAAGGGACGTACATCCATATGTGGTGGGAATGCCCGAAAGCGCAGGCCTTCTGGAGAGAAGTGGGCAACCTCCTAAGTGAGGTTTTTCACAGACAAGTCAAAACAGACCCATGGGTTTTTCTGCTCTCCAGAACACTAGAAGACTGGCCTAAAAAGGACCAGAAACTCCTACACAAAATCACACTGGCGGCCAGACTCACCATGGCGCAGACATGGCTCCAAACTACAATCCCACAGATCAACACTGTACTCCACAAAATCAAAGATATCCAGGTCATGGACCACCTTACCGCACTAGTGAGAGACACCAGGACACGATACGAAAAGGTCTGGGAACCATGGTTATCAGGGAACTGGGAGAGCTATGGAAATCCCACTACAGGGCCTTCCCAAAGTGCCAACACTTAACTAGACACCAACAGAGCCTCTCACCGCACCGCTCCGGACTCCGCCACGGGGATCCCCCCCTCCCCCTCCCCTCCTGCCCTTCCTTCTCCCCCCCCCCTGCCCTACCCTTGCCTTTTATAATACGGCCTACTGGGGGCTACAACCAGAGCTGGACATCTGCGGTACTTACAATACCCAGTTATGGCATGTTTTCTTCTCTCTCTTTTCTCTTTATCCCTTTTATTGTATAAAGACTCACAATCTCTCATAAAATGTATGTATGTATGAAAATGAAAGAAAAATGACACTCATTAGCACATTTTTTCAAGCTGAACACACTCACGCAAACTGTAACGACGATATAATCATCTGTACATTGGATTACGGATTGGTTACCTATACCTTGTACCACATGTGTTTCTTCCGTATTGTATCGCACTGTCATACCAAAAATAAAGAATTTAAAAAAAAGAAAGGTCGCCGGGGCATTCTTCATCCCGAATGGGATGACCTTAAACTGATACAGGCCAAAAGGGGTGACAAACGCCGACTTGGGGATGGCTTCCTCAGCTAATGGAATCTGCCAGTATCCCTTACATACATCTATGGTGGTGGAGATACTGGCCTCGTGCCATCTTATCCAGCAGCTCGTCTATCCGGGGCATCGGGTAAGTATCAGACACCGTTTTGTCATTTAGCCTCCGGTAGTCCACACAAAATCGAGTTGTGTAACGGATAACCTGGCACCCTGACTGGGTACCTCCGTTGAAGGATGCTCCTAGTGCTTCCTGAGGACTCCAAGCACTGCAGCAGACACCACAAACACCGCAGACTCCGCAACCGCTGTATTTTGATTGGAGTCTCGCCGTCTTCCTTCCACCCTGGATCAGCTTCTGTCCTCCAGGACTATGTGGGAAAGAACTCTTCCTTCCACCCTGTATGAACCTCCAGCATCCAGGACTGTGTGGTGAAGACCCGTCCTCCAAGGAGAGCGTGTCAGGAACAAGCTCTTAAAAGAGCTAAGTGATTCAAGCTCAGGGGAGCATGCAGAGCATAGCAATCCCCAGTGTGATTTTAACAGCTCCTTCCAATAACGAGACGAGGCTATGTTTAGAGGGATCAAGAAGAACTGATGTTTATTGACAGGGGTCTCCTTTTATGCAATGGTGCCCTGGAAAGGGCTACACCCACATAATTATTACAACAACCAATCATACACATGGTACAACCCCCACGTCTCTTCCCCTCAGATAAACATGTAACACAATTAAAACATACAAAACGCACAGATTTTCTAGCCGAAAAGAGCTCCATAAGTTTTGGCCCTGCGATCGGTCTCTGTTCGTGCATTAAAACCCCATGAACCCCTTGCCATCCATAGTCATCCTGGTGTTCGCTGGAATCCCTATGTAAGCCTAAGTCTAACTACCGATTGGTCGGTAGTTCCAGCACGAAGTTATGGGCTCATGGAGGTCTCAGCGGTGTTCGCCTGTTTGCGTATCCGTTTTTAGTTCCATGCGTTCACGGGCAAACACCGCTGTTCGTGTGTAAGATGGCCGCGAACACGTGTAAAGTCCCGAAATGGTGGCCATCTATTCCGAGCACAAAGAATTTGTGTGAAACCATACGAACGGCTTCAAAAGAGCTGGGAGGTCAAATACCACTTAACTGTTCCCCTGGGTGGTCCGATGTTCGGTAGTTTGGGCTTCATTCTCAGATAATGGTACTTCCCATGAAACAGGTATTCGGTCTTTAGTAAATCCAACTGTGTTATGGTAAATTAGTCCAGGCACAAAGCATAGTTCTGTTACAAGTTGTACCATCCTTCTTAGGTACCAGGACTATCGGCGATGCCAGAGTGATCAGAGTGTTCAATAACCCCTAACTGCAACATCTCCTCAATCTCCTTCCTCATGTGTTCCCTGACTGATTCAGGGATCCGCATCGGTAGCTGTCCAGGGGTCTCAACTCGGTTGGTGGCCAGCGGAGTGTACCCAGGCAAGTTGGAGAAAGTGGCACCTGTATCTGGGCCCGCTCTTGAGGGCTGTGCCGCTCCCCCAGTTGAACCCCCTTGGAGGGCTCTGCCTGATCATCCTGTTCTAATAGGTCAGGTAGCGGCAGGTTCTCCTGATCTTCTGAGGCTGGCGTGCATATGGCTGCCACGTCCTCTGTCCTCTCATGGTATGGTTTGAGCATGTTCACGTGGAGCATGCGTCTCTTCCCTACCCCTGAGCAGGGGTCAATCACATAGGTGGTGTCGCATCTCTGCTCCACCACCTGGTATGGGCCTTGCCAGATGGCCTGCAGCTTGTCTGTGCGGACAGGTTTTAAAATCAAAACCTTCTGTCCCACTTGAAAGCTGTGTTCTCTGGTTCCCCTGTCATACCAACGACGCTGTCGTTGCTGGGCCGCCTGGAGATTGGTACGTACGGCCTGGGTTAGTTCCTCCAGACGGTCCCTGAACTCTAGCACGTATGGTATAATGGGGGTCCCATCCGCGCTGCTCTCTCCCTCCCAATGCTCCCTAATTATGTCCAACGGTATATAGTGTAAAAAGAGGTAAAAGCGCACTCAGTAATACCAAAGAAAAGGGTTACCTGTATAATATACAATTATGATAACCTGCAGTAGATGATCTTGGTATATACTTGAACAGATACAGTAGATAAAATCTATATAAAGATACAATAAAACAAACACAACATAGTGTAATCTGTAAACAATGTAGATAGTGGGTAATTAAAGGTTAAACCACTCACAATATATTGAGCCAGTTGAAAGCTGGCTCAAAACTTATCCGGCATGTATGTCCTATAAATAGACATCAATGGTGCTGTATCTTTAAGGAGAGATCTTCAGAGTTGTCAGAGCCAAGGATTGGAGCAGAAAAATAAATTTCTTCCCTTGGAAAATTGTCTGGTATTTTGTTCAATAAGAAACCAGAGATAAGAAATATATTTACTTAAAAAAAGTTTAATTTCTTATCATAAAACAGAATAAAAAAATGTGCAACGCGTTTCAACCACTCCAGTGTGGTCTTCCTCAGGTGCTGGTCAATATCAGAATGAATTTCCAAACAGTTTATATAGGATGCAAATTAAATCACAATTGGTTACACATATGTATCATATTAACAATCATTTCCTTATTTGGTCCTAGCCGGATGTGCACTGCCACCTCCAATATGGCTGCACTCCCGGTTTTCGGACAAACACATCAGGCGCCATCAGGTCCAACGGTCCCCTCACTCTTCTCCCAAAAAACAATTCAAACGGGGAAAAACCTGTTGACTCTTGGGGTACCTCTCTATATGCGAATAGCAAATGGGGAAGAAATCGTTCCCAGTTCTTATGGGCCTCTCCAAACGTACGGAGCATCTGCTTTAGGGTACCATTAAATCTTTCGCATAAGCCGTTGGACTGGGGGTGATAGGCGGAGTTTACTATCGGCTTAATGCCACATATCTTCCACAATTGCTGGGTGACTTCAGCAGTGAACTGGGTCCCCCTATCAGAGATTATCTCCTGAGGAAACCCTACCCTGGAAAAGACTTTCATCAAGGCCTCGTCCACCGTTTCCGCCTGAATGTTGGACAGGGTGATGGCCTCAGGGTACCGGGTGGCGTAGTCCACCACGGTCAAGATATACCTTTTCCCGGAGGGACTAGGCTTAGGTAATGGTCCCACTATGTCCACGGCCACTCTGCTAAAGGGCTCCTCAATAATGGTCAGGGGACACAGTTTCGCTTTGTGGCCGTCCCCCCTCTTACCCACTGTGGCGAAACCAATGTCGCCACTGTACACTGGAGAAGCCTGGTTGCTCGCCTGCTGCCTTTGGACTATGGCCCCATGTTAAAAGACATCTTTTTTTCCCTGCAGAAAAGACTTATTCATGCTTTTCTGCCGGGTGTTCGGTAGATTTGTGTAGCGGAACGCCAATATTAAATCCACGAATTCCGCTGGTTCAGGAAGTAATCCACAGTCAAGCGCTGAAACAACAAGGCAATATCCCCAACCTCCCAGTAACCGGACGAAACACAGTTCTGAGAGTCAACTGAAGTCCTTTAATTCTGCTGCACAATTTATACAAGTCCCCATGCAAGGGGTTTCCTGAGTACCCTCCCAGGGGCATTCCCAGAGGGGACTACATGGGGAACTTACAGTACAACCCATTTCTCCCATCAGGCACTGCTGCATGAGAGGGATCCTCCTCCTGGAATATACCGTTAAGTGGATTATCCCTCCGTGCAGCAGAACCGACAATTTATATAAAAATCTGTAACTTTGCGAATATACAGTTTATTTGCACGAATGGACGTTCGGTAGATAGCTGGGGTCTGAGCGCATCATTCGTGAGATTACCGCTCAGATCCCAGCTAGAATAACCGAACGCCGCACGAAAAACACATTTATTGAGAAACATATTAAAAAGACCGATTGCCTTCCAGTGAATGAAATACCGAACGGCCTGGAACTCCCGAACGTCCTGGAGGCTCAGCGGTGTTCGTGCCGTCGAGTAGCCGTTTTTAGTACCATGCGCTCGACGACCCAACACCGCTGAGGGAACAAAGGATCCAAGATGGCCTACCGCAGCATGGTTGGTAGTCGAACGACGGCCACCCAGGAGAGCCTCTAATTACCGATTGCAACATTGTTGCAATCGGTTAACAAGCGCCACACGCCTCTAAGTGTGTGGGCTATTAGGGGTCATGTTTTCGGTTCACGAACGGCCCTCCAAAGTGCCGTTCGTGAAACAAAAGGCAAACCCCATACAAATAGCTATCCGCATTCGGCGGATAGCAAATACAGGCAATCCAAGATATTACAGTCAGCATACAGTGTACATAGTTAAACACATATCTCCACCGGCATGTAGGCAACCCTTAAAGGTACAGTCTCTGGTTATAGTCCAAGTGGCTAGGTTTGCCACAATGCTCCCCCAGAACCAAGCCGGCATACACAGTCTGATCCCCACGGATCGGCTTGGGGATGTCCGGAGGAGGGCTCACAGATCACTTCTCAAGGTCTGTTTGTCTGGATAACCCGTCGGTGTTACCGTTTTGTTTCCCGGGGCGATAATGGATAAAGTCAAAAGGCTGTAGCGCTAAACTCCAGCGCAGCAGCCTGGCATTATCTCCAGCCACACGGTTCAGCCACACCAACGGGTTGTGATCTGTGAGCAAAGAAAAGGGTTGCCCATAGAGATATAGTTGTAACTTTTTCAGGGCCCACACCACGGCCAGGCATTCTTTTTCTATGGCGGCGTAGCTCACTTCTCGGGGCAATAGTTTCCGGCTCAAATATGCTACGGGATGTTCTCCGCCATCTGCTCCGACCTGGCTCAGTACTGCTCCCAATCCAAACATTGAGGCGTCTGCGTGGACAAGAAAACGTTTAGTTGGATCAGGAGCAGCCAGTACCGGGGCATTGGTCAGAGCCGTCTGTAACGGAGCTCCTTGTACTCCGACCGAGTACCCTCCGTTGATGGATGCTCCTAGCGCTTCCTGAGGACTCCAAACACTGCAGCAGACACCACAACCACTGCAGACTCCACAACCGCCGTAGCTTAACTGGAGTCTCGCCGTCTTCCTTCCACCCTGGATCAGCTTCTGTCCTCCAGGACCGTGTGGGGAAGACCTCTCCTCCAGGAGAGCGTAACAGGAACAGCTCTTAAAAGAGCTAAGTGATTAAAAGCTCAGGGGAATATGCAGAGCATAGCAATCCCCACTGTGATATAGCAGTTCCCTCCAATAACGAGACAAGGCTACGTATTGAGGGTTAAGAAGATCTGATGTTTAATGGCACACACTCTGCTTTTATGAGATTCTGCCCATGCAAGGGAGACACCCACATAATTAGCAGTATAGCCAATCGGAACAATATACATTCGGGGAAATTCCCATCCCTCAGATAATCACATAACATAATTAAAACAGAACAGTAAAAATACAGTTTTTATACATGTACTATAACTTCCAAACTACACATCCAATCTTCATAAAAATTACATATTTGGAATCAATCCATTAAGGGGAGCAACATATTAAAAAATGGCACAAATCAGACAAGGGGTTCAAAAGTTAGCAAAAGTGTCTTTTGGGGCCTGGCTGGCAGCATGGTTTTCTGGCCCAAACCGGTTTTACAGAGGCCTCTATCCTGGACAATGGGGAAAGTAATCCAATTATCCAGGGATAGAGGCAGACTCCATTAACCACATGTTAGCAAAAGACACAAAAAGACACAAAAATACATAACTCCTATTGAACTGAACAGAACCCCCACATTCAACCTATCCCCAGATGGCTTGGATCTGAGCGCTCAATATATCCAAACAGCGCTCAGATCCCACAAATACAGTCAAATCGCCATACACACTAGGTCCATAGTCATGGGGCAGAAGGCTGGCAATTAGGCTTCTCCATAACACAGGGAAGCAGGGCAATTTGTCAAATAAAATAACAGTTACAAATGGCAGTTTGTAACATATCTCCCCTTTTGGAGGGAGACTAACCAGGCACCTGACCTCCTGTCGGTCAGTGCCTAAGTTAGTCTCGCAGCCCACCCACAAATAACAAGTAGCAAAGTAGCCCCCCCACATTAAACAGTACTGGCCTGTAGGTTCCAGGTTGTACGATGAAAATGCAGCATCCTCTGCCTTCCTGGTGCAGCTGGGCAAATAGCTGGTGGTACTTGGGGGGCAGAGGCCAGCGGCGCTCTGCCCTGATGCCCGCACTTCTGCTGGGGAGAGGGGGTTGCAGACCAGTCCTGTAACAAGGGGGTCGGTAGGGCAGAGGCCAGCGGCGCTCTGCCCTGATGTCAGCTCTTCCGCTGGGGTAGCCTTCAGGCTCTGGACAAGGGACAAAGGGAGGGCAGAGGCCGACTGCACTCTGCCCAGCTGCCAGCTCTTCCGCTGGGGTGCTGGGAACATAGTCCGGCTCAGTAGCCAGGGGAACATGGGAGTCAGTGGGGGTTAACATCTCCTCTGTTAACCCTGGGGCCAAGTTAGGAGTTAGCTGGGGAGGGGAATTCATACTTACCCCCTCTTCCTGTTGTCCCTGTGAGGGTAGTTGGGGATCTGGACAGGCTGTCCAGCATCCCTATAGGTCAGGCACAGAGACCACGGTCCCATCTGCGCCATCTGGGAGATTGGTGTCTCCCCTTGGTGGGGTAAGCTGCTGCTGGGGAGATAGGGTGCTGTGCTCCTCTCCCTGAAACACATGCTGCCGCTGGAGAGGGAGACCGCCTGTCTCCACTCCCATAACAATGTCCTGCTGCTGGAGAGAGAGACCAACTGTCTCTGCTCCCTGTAGGACACACTGCTGCTGTTGCGGGGGAAGGACGACACCTTCGGCCCCCTGGAATTCGCACTGCCGCTGGGGAGGAAGGACGACACCTTCGGCTCCCTGTAACTTGCACTGCCGCTGGGGAGGAAGGACGACACCTTCAGCTCCCTGGAACTTGCACTGCCGCTGGGGAGGCAGGACGACACCTTCGGCTCCCTGGAACTTACACTGTCGCTGGAGACTAAGTGTCCATATCCTCAACCTCCACAGTTTTCGCTCAAAGGCCATTGCCGCACTGTTCTCAGCACTCAACTGGCGCATTACTTGGTGGACCACCTCGTTCGAAAGGTCTGGGCCATAGCAGACCAACCGCCTCTTTACCTCCTCAATGTAAGCGTCATCCTCGTAGCGCCGTATCCTGTTGAGGTACTCTTCGCAGGGCTCTATCCATGCCTGCTCCATGCTGCTGTAGTTAGGGACGCTGTACAGTGGCTAGCGTTGCCCTCAATAACCTCTCATACGATACCAGTGTCTCCGAGCTGCTTCTCCTCGCACTAGGACGCCATCCCACCGCTGCCATCAATGTAACGGAGCTCCTTGTACTCCGACCGAGTACCCTCCGTTGATGGATGCTCCTAGCGCTTCCTGAGGACTCCAAACACTGCAGCAGACACCACAACCACCGCAGACTCCACAACCGCCGTAGCTTAACTGGAGTCTCGCCATCTTCCTTCCACCCTGGATCAGCTTCTGTCCTCCAGGACCGTGTGGGGAAGACCTCTCCTCCAGGAGAGCGTAACAGGAACAGCTCTTAAAAGAGCTAAGTGATTAAAAAGCTCAGGGGAGTATGCAGAGCATAGCAATCCCCAGTGTGATATAGCAGTTCCCTCCAATAACGAGACAAGGCTACGTATTGAGGGTCAAGAAGATCTGATGTTTAATGGCACACACTCTGCTTTTATGAGATTCTGCCCATGCAAGGGAGACACCCACATAATTAGCAGCATTATAACCAATCGGAAACTATACATTCAGGGAAATTCCCATCCCTCAGATAATCACATAACATAATTAAAACAGAACAGTAAAAATACAGTTTTTATACATGTACTATAACTTCCAAACTACACATCCAATCTTCATAAAAATTACATATTTAGAATCAATCCATTCAGGGGAGCAACATATTAAAAATGGCACAAATCAGACAAGGGGTTCAAAAGTTAGCAAAAGTATCTTTTGGGGCCTGGCTGGCAGCATGGTTTTCTGGCCCAAACCGGTTTTACAGAGCCCTCTATCCTGGACAATGGGGAAAATAATCCAATTATCCAGGGATAGAGGCAGACTCCATTAACCACATGTTAGCAAAAGAAACAAAAAGACACAAAAATACATAACTCCTATCATACTGAACAGAACCCCCACATTCAACCTATCCCCAGATGGCTTGGATCTGAGCGCTCAATATATCCAAACAGCGCTCAGATCCCACAAATACAGTCAAATCGCCATACACACTAGGTCCATAGTCATGGGGCAGAAGGCTGGCAATTAGGCTTCTCCATAACACAGGGAAGCAGGGCAATTTGTCAAATAAAATAACAGTTACAAATGTCAGTTTGTAACACCGTCTTTAGTTGGTTGAATGCCTGTTCACACTCTGGGGCCCAGATGACCTGCCTGGGCAGGTTTTTCTTCGTCAAGTCAGTCAGGGGTTTGGCCAGGGCACTGTAATTGGGCACAAATTTTCTATAATACGCGGCGGTACCTAAGAAGGCAAGGACTTGGGTTTTGGTCCTAGGGGTAGGCCACTGGGCTACGGCTACAATCTGTGCGGGCTCAGGCTTCTGTTGCCCGCTACCTACCCGGTGCCCTAAGTATTGGACCTCCGCCATCCCTATGTGGCACTTGCTGGGTTTCAAGGTAAGCCCTGCCTCCCTAATCCGATCTATTACCGCCCCTATATGTTGTAGGTGATCCGACCAGGTCTTGCTGTAGATGGCAATATCATCCAGGTATGCACACGCATAATCCTGGAACCCGTCCAGTAGCCGATCCACCATCCGCTGGAATGTCGCGGGGGCGTTCTTCATCCCGAATGGCATGACTCGAAATTGGTACAAGACAAACGGGGTGACGAACGCCGACTTGGGGATGGCGTCCTCGGCTAGTGGAATTTGCCAATATCCCTAACAAAGATCTATCGTCGTGAGATACTGGCCTCTGGCCATCCTATCTATCAGTTCGTCTATCCGGGGCATAGGGTAAGCGTCCGACACGGTTTTGTCGTTCAACCTCCGGTAGTCCACACAGAACCGGGTGGTACCATCTTTCTTGGGGACCAGGACTACCGGCGATGCTCAGGGGCTATCAGAGTGTTCGATAACCCCCAACTGCAACATCTCTTCAATCTCCTTCCTCATATGTTCCCGCACGGATTCAGGAATCCGATATGGGGTTTGTCGCATTGGAAGCTGTCCCGGGGTTTCTCGGTGAGTGGCTAGTGGAGTGTACCCAGGTAAGTTAGAAAAGGTGGCGCCCTTTGCCGCTATTAGTTCTTGTACCTGGGTACGCTCTTGAGGACTTAGCCGCTCCCCCAGCTGAACCCCCTGGGAGGGCTCCTTCTGCTCTTCCTGCTCTAACAGATCTGGAAGAGGTAAGTTCTCCTGATCTTCTGAGGCGGGCGTGCAAATAACTGCCACGTCCTCCGTTCGCTCGT